CTCTTCTTCATGTCTCTTCTACATCAACATGTGTCCCCTCTGTGTAAAGAGACTCTGAAAGTCTGAAAATGAGCCGATCAGATTTTGGCCACTTTATGATGTCATAGCGATGTTTTGGCTTGAGTAACCATTAGCCAATCACCAACCAAGGTAACCCCCCCCCCCCCCCTTATCACCTGAATCTCCTCCTAGAGCACCAATGTGTTCTTTGTAACCAAATATCTCTCAGAGGGGCGTGGGGAGGGGCTCCTTATTTTCATCTAAAGTAACAGACAGAGAATCAGCACTTTTGAAACAGGGCTGAAACAGAGGGGATTATGGGTAATGCTGCAATGATCTGTTTGGTGTTTGGAGCCAAACACTTCAGAGACATGTTTTGTATATATCTGAGACCTATAATATATTGATGAAAAACAGTATAATAGGAGACCTTTAAGTTTACTCCCTTGAATCCAGTCCAATTAAAACACTGTGCAGAATGCATGTGTTCATGTTGCATAAGTGTGTGTGTCTGTATGTGAAGTCTGCAGACTCATCCATTCCCTCCTCCAGTTTAAACTGATGAAGCTGAAGTAACGTTGCTGTTTCCGTCCTCCTGTATTGATCCTCCCTCCTGCTTCTTAGATTAGTGAATAGATCACAGCACCTTGTGAAGCAATTAATTTAGCTCCTGAGAATCTCTTAGTTCTGTCCGTTAGTCCGTGTGGAAATATAGATAAAGGGACTAATGTGGGTTATTATCAGCTGCTTAGATTTAATGGATTCACAGAGTGTGCCAGAGCCTGGGGCATACGAGCTGTTTCGTGCTGGAAAATAAAAAGCAACATGGTGCCGAAAAATATAACCGAGTATATGACGACTAATGGAACCAGAGAAAATGGAGCAAACACTGAATGGTAACGCCACCAGGTTAGTTAGATGATAAACCTACTATTTAAGGGCTTAGAGGTTTACCTGGGGATTATTCAAGGTTTTGTGAGATATGGGTAATTACAAGGTGCAACTAGAAGATAAGGAAAGTGCCTTTTCTTTCTTGAGTACTTGTGTTGTGTATTTCAACAATGCTCTCGTGTACCGCATGTGTTACCAACGTTTGTGAGTCACTGCATTAGATTGTATAGATGTATCTTATAATGCACAACAATGTTACATGTAGGACTGCACACTTTGGAAATAAGTAACTAATTTGAAACTGGAATCCCTGGATCCCTCTAGCACAAACGGTCAGCTGATAGATCCACTGAATTTGGCGATGTATACTGTTTGAAATAAAGAAACGCAATTGGTATACCTTAAAGGGGACCTATCATGCAAAATGCACTTTTTGATGTCTTTTATACATAAATATGTGTCCCCGGTGTGTCTGGGAACTCACGCAGCGTCAGAAAATAAAACCCTCTCTCTTTTCCTCCGTACCCAAATCTCTAAAAACGGAGGTACAACGGAGCTGATCCAGATTTGCGTCCGATATGACGTAATATCGGAAATGTGGAACAACGGCACTATCAGAAACGTTGCTCTCAGAAACAATGCCCGACTGTTTTGGACGTAATATGGTCGGTGTTTACATTAGCATCGCTAACACTCAGAGCTAACCTGTACTGGAGAGCATGTGTGTGAAGAAGCAGGAAATAAAAAGGAACTCACCTTGTGGTATAACCGGCAAGAGAGAAAGCCTTTGAGCTCCATACTGTTTCAGAAAGAATCCTTGATAATCCATGATATGGCGTTTCATCACGGCAGTATTTAGTTTAGACAGTAGCTGCCGGGTCCCGCATGAGCTCAGCCCCCGCCTTTCCCCCAAATCAGCACTTTTGAAACAGGAAGTGAAATAGAGGGATATGAGGCATGGCTAGAATGGGTGATCTGTTTGGTATTTTGAGCAAAACACTTCATAGACATGTTTTTTATATATTTGTATCTGAGACCTATGCTACTGTATTGCCTAAAAATAGCATGATAGGTGACCTTTAAACTGGGATTGAAACCTGGGAATTGTAATTTTGAATTGTAATTTTTTTATATAGAATTCCAATTCAAAGTCAAGTTTCAAATTCCCCACTCCAGTAAAACATATTGATATGATCATGGTGTGACTTGGTTATGGTTAAGAGGATATGTACCAAACCAATATGTTTTGTTTAGTCTGTAGAGTAGAACGATATCTCTTAAGCCTTTAGCAAACATTGCAATTTTGATAACATTTAGTCCTGTTAGATGTAGTGTTATTGGGCGAAAAGTGCCAATTGGTCAAGATGTTTTATCACATTGTTCCCCCCTGGTCTGTTGTTGGAGCATATTGCGTGCAGGCTGGATGGAGACTGTTATAAAGGACGATAAATGAGGAGGGACAGAAGAGAAAGGTCACGAGCCGGACTCTAATTCTTCTTCAACAAACCGAGGCTGCAGTTCTCTTGACGCTGAAAAACTGAATCCCTGAGTGCAGATCAAGCCTCAGACTGTGTGAGGACCGGACAGAGGATTCTGGGACGGCTGTGCTTCAGAGCAGAGAGAAAGTTTGATAGAGACATCATGAGGAAAAACTGGAGAGAGATTAGCACTAATGAGCTGTGACTCGGCTGTGCAGAGAGCGGACTGTTAATGACGCTCTGTTTCTCACATCTCCATGCAGCGAGCGTCCTTCTGTTCACTGTCCCTGGGTTTTCTGTTTTTCCTCCATTTCTATTAAAGTGAACAATCTGTGGCTGCAGATACCCGAGTTAACACGGTGTCGTTGGTAAGCTTCAAGGCTTTGTCCTCTTTCACCTTCAACAGCTATACAGGACTGTTTTCTCCAAATATGATCAATTATTGATGGCAGCGAAACCGGCATGAAGGAGGCTGTCAGGGCAAATCTTTCCATTGCTGCATGACCGAAGAAACCACATGGGGACAAAACGCAATAGTGTGCATGCAGGGAACAATCACAAGCATTCAAAATAAACAACATTTTCTTCTGAGATGTAGTGGAGTATGACGTAGCAGAAAATACAGAAAGTAAAGTGCATGTTCTCCAAAGTAGAGTACTGGAGTAAAAAGTACTTCCACATCTACTTTACATATCATACTGTTTTCTTAATGTATTGCTATTAGCACATTTTGCTGTCTACTTAGACCGGCACAATACATATTTTTTACTTTTTACCCGCACTGCCTGCTGTTATTACTGCAGGTTTAATACTTTGTAAATCTTAGTGTATTCATCATACTGTTATGTTGTATATTCAGTGTAGCCTAGTAATGTGTGTCCTCATACTGCAGTGTGTTAGTGTGGAAAAATGAAGCGAGGCAGCGACAATATATCATCAACACACAGAGACAAAATGTAATAAAATAAATGAGAGGAGGGTGTGAAGGAAGCTGAGTCAGAGGGCAATAAAATAAATAGCTGAGTAGCATAAGAGAGCAGAGTTTGGACTACACATCTTTTAAAAAAAATCAAAGCTCTTTAAGGACACAATCGTTGACTAATACAAAAAAGAAGCCACATTACATTACGTTGCATTTAGCTGACGCTTTTATCCAAAGCGACTTACAATAAGTGAATTCGACCAAGAAGATACAAACTTGAAGAAAACAGAATCATAGAAGTACATCAGGTTTCATAGAGCCAAAACATTTCAAGTGCTACTCAACTGGCTTTAGATAAGCCGGTCCTTTGTTAGTATATAAGTGCTCTGTTAGTAATTTTATTGCTCGAAGTGGAGTCGAAAGAGATGAGTTTTTAGTCTGCGCCGGAAGATGTGTAAGCTTTCTGCTGTCCTGATGTCAATGGGGAGCTCATTCCACCATTTTGGAGCCAGGATAGCAAACCCACGTGTTTTTGCTGATGGGAACTTGGGTCCCCCTCGCAGTGCGGGTGCAGCGAGCCGTTTGGCCGATGCAGAGCGGAGTGCACGTGCTGGGGTGTATGGTTTAACCATGTCCTGGATGTAGGAAGGGCCAGATCCATTCGCAGCATGGTACGCAAGTACCAGTGTCTTGAAGTGGATTCTAGCAGTTACTGGAAGCCAGTGAAGGGAGCGGAGGAGCGGTGTGGTGTGGGAGAATTTAGGAAGGTTGAAGACCAGACGAGCCGCTGCATTCTGGATGAGCTGCAGAGGTCGTATGGCACATGCAGGTAGACCAGCCAGGAGGGAGTTGCAGTAGTCTAGGCGTGAGATGACGAGAGCCTGGACCAGAAGCTGCGTCGCTTTCTGGGTCAGGAGGGGACGTATCCTCCTGATGTTGTAAAGAGTGTATCAGGTTCACTATATGGCTTTATCAAAAAGAGAAGAACGATTAGATTAGATTCACTTATACTTTATTGATCCTAAATGGAGAAATAGTTGTGTTGCATCAGCATGTAAACAAGGCATTGCACATGAAAATACAAATAAATGGACAAAATATACATTTTAAAGAGGCCCTATTATGCTTTTTGAGGTGTTCCCGTTCCTGTAGTGTGTTATATAGGTTTGTGTGCATGTAAATGGTCTGCAAAGGCTAAAAAGAGTTTCTGTCCCACACACTCAGGACACAATCGATATGAAGTGGCTTGTTTGTTAGCTTGGTCTCAAGAAAGGACACAAACAAATCTATCCTACGAACGGCCCTAATTAACAATATTCACGCTGCTTCTTTCACCCACTCAACAACAAAAATAACAACGTGCTGTGCACAATATTTTCACCATAATAATTAAAAATACAATAGCAATGACTTTGCACAGTATTTTATCTGCACCAAACTACATATGAACATTTTGAATAGATGTACAGACAGAATAAGACCCACCTTTTCAATCAAGCTTTTAATTTAATTGTGCTATTAGTTTTATTCTGTCCTGTGTTTGTTGACTTCTCTTGATATATATTATAATTTTTTTTGGTTATTCTTTTTGGAGGTTCTTTGTGTGAACCTCTGTGTATGAAAAGTGCTTTAAAAATACAATTTGATTGATGGAAAAATCACATGTTTCTGACTCTTCCTGTTGTTATTTATTCTCTATTTTCTTCCAGTTTTTCACCGACCCGTGTGCCAGCAGTCCCTGTCTCCATGGAAACTGCAGCCGTAGCGATGAGGGGGAGGCGGCCTACACCTGCGTCTGCAGCGAGGGCTACGAGGGGGGGCGGTGTGATCAGATCCTGATGGACCTGCCCCCCGCTGAGTGGGACCCCTCCACCCCCCCCGCCCCCGAACTGGCCACCCCCGCCGCCTCCACCACCGCTGCCGCCACTCAGCCACCTACAACCACTACTACTGTACCCCCCCCCACTACTGCCCCCCTCCCCACTACTGTCCTCCCCCCCTCCACCACTGATACCACCACCACAACTCCACCTCCCACCCTGCAGCCATGGCAACCCAAAGCTGGACAGAGGCTGCTGGTGGTGTCGTGGGAGGCCGACAGGGTGAGATATCTTCTAATACATTTTTGGAGGGAACACAGTGATTCTAGCCTTTGCAGACCATTTACATGCACATGTATTATTATAAAAAAAAGACATGTGTGGTGTTGTGATAAAGAGATGCCTGACGAACTGGGGAGAAAAAGAGTGCAATAAGAAACATACTGTATTCATTGAAATTATAATAGGAAACTGCATCGTAATAACCATGATATTTAAAACCTGAAATTCTGATATCATCTTTAGTTTTAGTTTAAAACATTTTTTAAATAAATACAAATGATTAGCTATTTCATAATGAATATATCTCTATATTTCTAGCTCTTTATTTACCCATCACTACACACACAAACTAGCTGTGTCATTTGTTAAAAAAACATATTAATAATAATCTTTGTAATTGGGCAGCAGTAGCTCCGTCTGTAGGGACTTGGCTTGGTAACTGAAGGGTCGCCGGTTCAAGTCCCGATCGGACCAGAAATACAGGGTGTGGATTGATAGTTGGAGATGTGCAAGTTCACCTCCTGGGCACTATTGAGGTGTCCTTGAGCAAGGCATCTAATCAGTAACTGCTCCATGGTTGCCTGTTTGCTCCTCAATAACATAAATGCATGTGTTTTTGTATATGTATGCACGTAGAACTAATGTGTATATCCCCAGTATGGACCTGTGTAGAGAATAACTGAATTCCCCCACATTTTTTATTTGACCTTTGTTTAACCAGGATAGGTCTCATTGAGATTACAAATCTCTTTTTCAAGAGAGTCCTTGCCCAAGAATGGTAACAGCACAGTTACAGACACATTAAAACACACAATCACAACACAGTCATACAACCATTTTTAGCCAAAGCATTTACAGACACAGCGGTTTGCTTCAAGGTCATTTAGAGTAGCTTTGAGTCTGTTTAATGAGACCAGCTCTCTGAGTTTCAGCTCAATTTGAAGCTGGTTCCAAGCTTCAGGAGCAGCGTAACTTAACGCCCTCTTTCCCAGTTCACTACGGACTTTTGGAACAGTTAGAAGGAAAAAGTCCTCAGAGCGAAGCCGATAAGATCCTGTGCATTTTCTGTTTATGCAGATCCTTAGATAAGGGGGAAGAGCACCAAGAATAAGCCGTATATATAAGGATGTGCCAGTGCTGCAGATGAAGGGTCTTCTTATTCTTAATAATAATCAAGTTTAAAATACATGTGTGGTGTTGTGATAAAGAGATGACTGGTAGAGAAAGAGTGCAATTAAAAAACATACTGTATTCATTGAAATTATAATAGGAAACTTTCACAATACGAGTGTCACAATAACCTTGATCATTAAAACCTGAAATTATAAAATGTCATCTTTTGTCATAGTTTAAAGTGGACCTATCATGCTATATTTGAATAATATAGTGTAGGACCATACCTATATAAGGCATATTTATACTTTTTTTTTTTCAAAATACCAAACAGATCATGCATTTTAGCCATGCCTCATTTTGCTCAATTTGACCATTTCTAGCTCTGGGCAGATTCAGTGAGAACAGCACCACCTACAGGCCTGGCATATGTACTACAGCGTCTCCAGCACTCTTTCGAACGGCAATGGCCGTGGGTGTCTCCTCCTGATTGGTGGAGTTGGCCCAATAGCCGTAGCGCCACCGTCCTGACGTCAGCACAGTGTTCAAATCTGGATCAGTTTTTATCAGATCCGTTGCAGCCCCTTTTTTAGAGATTTGGGTATGGAGGAAAATAGAGAGGGTTGTGTTTTCTGACACTTGCTGAGTTCCCTGGAACACCGGGGACACATATTCATGTATAAAAGACGTACAAAAGTGCATTTTGCATGATAGGTCCCCTTTAAATAAAAGTATTAAATAAATGAAAAGTATTAGCTCTTTCCTATACCAAATACCTGGCAAACACACATGCAGTACTTCACTTCTCCCCGTCTGGTGGTGCTGTTGGAGGCTGAATTGAAGCGTCTGTGTGTTAATCTGTAATGTGTGTGTAATGTGTGTGTAATGTGTGTGTGTGCTCCAGGTGACGGAGGGTCTGCACTGTGTGAGTCCGGAGCTGTGTGAGCTGACTTCAGGAACTCTCACTCTGTCTCTGGAAGTGCCCGAGGAGACGGCTGTAAAGTAAGAGCAACTTTTTGTATGACTTTCTGCTGTCCCCTTAAAGCACGGAAAGATTATCCAGCCAGAGGCGAAATGTAACTTTGGGCCTCCAATTATCCCCCACGCTCCTTTTGCATAATCCTTTTTGTACTGTGGAAAGTTTGGCTTGTCACAGAAGGAAAAGCACACTTTTGGTTTTTATATATTAATTTATTTGTCAGGGTTACAGCAGGTGCACGCTTCGATTTGAGAGTCGGGCCAGATTCTGCACCAATCAGAATGCATGACTCTACTGGTGGACACCCAATGAATACTTTGTTATGCACACAAGAGCTAGGGAAAGAACTGTTAGGAGAGGAGTTGAGGCGGACATTGTACGTGATAGGCTAAGGGGCCGGGACATCTCGAAGCGGTTGACCAATAACAACAGAGCCGGCCAGCTAACCAATCAGAGCAGACTGGGCTCTGGTTTCAGACAGAGGGTGAAAAGAGGTGCTGCAGCACAGGCAGTATGAGAAAAATAAAGAGCTTTTTGAACATTAAAGCATGGAGACATGTCCCAGTAGAGACACTACATACAAAAATGAACCTGAAGATGAGCATCAAATAATATGGGTTTATTAAGGGTGTAATAACATTGTAATATGGGTGTTATAACAGTGTAACTACAGTGGTAAAGGGGTGAATTCATTTGTAATGTGGTTGTTATAATTTAGTAACATTACATGACATGTCACTTGTTAGACGCTTTTATCCAAAGCGACTTACATACTCAATACTGTGGGCAATCCCCACAGGAGCAATTTGGGGTGAAGTGTCTTGCCCAGGGACACAACGACATGCTGACTGCAGTGGGGTTTGAACCTGTGCCCCCCTGATCCGAACACCAACGCACTAGTCCATTGCGCCACACGCCTCCCTTATCACACCAGACATGACACTTTCCACCTGAATTGGTCGATGGTACAGTCGGCTTGGTCGCAAGGAAGAACACAAACTCCCAGAATATTTAATGAACTAAACTCACGCTGCTTTTGTCGATCCTCAACAAGAAAAACAACCAAACTATCATTTCTGCATATTCAAGATAATTAAAAAAAATATATGATAGAAACAACTTTGCACAGCATTTTATCTGCATACATAACTACATGCAACACCTTTTGTAACGAATAACCTTCCATCTCTTCATGACCCACCTCTGAGACCTGAGAAGCCGTCTTACACCACACCGGGCGTATTTCATCTTTCCCGAGCTTGTTTTCTCATAAACACAAGAACAATGGCTCCGGGGTCAATGAATAATGCAGAAGCGATGGTCAAGGTGAGTCTTGGATGTCCTTGATGTTCTCCTCCTTGTCGATGGCAGGCACGACGGCAGACTGCGAGTTAATCAACTGCTGCTGCTTTGTTTTCATACGGTATAATTACACACTGCGCCTGAATGCAATGTGAAGGACACTTATGTACAAACACACATGCACCACTTGGAATTGAAGCAGTGACATCGATTTAGAAGCTGATACTAATGTTACAAAGCTGTTTCATCCCAAAGGAGCTGAAGAGGGCTTATTCAAGCATATTATGCAACAATATCAACACTGATGCCTAAGTAATACTCATGAGAATGTACCTGCTTTTGGGTAATATTCTCCTTGATGTCATTGATTTGAAATATTAATGATTCATAATAACTGACTGTCTACTGAATCAACTTTAATAGGTAAAGCAATTGATTAAAATACCAACAAAATTGAATTAAATCAATCAAACCGCTTTCGTTTCATTCCTTTTTATGGTTAATGTCTGTTTCCCTATATCTTGTCTTAATATTTGTCCTTGTTGATGTTGCAAAGGGAGCTACTGTGGTGCAAGACGAATGACATACTTGATCTGACAATTAAAGGTAGGGTAGGTAAGAATGGAGAAACCAGCTCGAGTGCGCTAGAATTTGAAAGTACACAACCGGAAAAAAATCTGCCCCTTCCTTCAGACTTCCTTACAGAGCCCCTCCTCCAACACACACGAACGCGCACATGACCAATGAGGGCACGAGATAAGTTTGTGCACGAGATGGAAGGCTGACAGGCAGGTAGGCCATCCAGTTATTTTAGCCGGGCCGGCTCAGATGATTGGTCGTGCTTTTTACAGCGCCACGGCTTCCACAGAGGAATTTATTTATTAATGTATTTATTGTCAAAGCATTTAATATATTCATTGCTATCGGGATGTTAAGAGCATTCCATGGAATATAACAAAACGTGTTTCTGAAGTGAATCACCTACCCCACCTTTAAGTATTATCGTATCGTATCATTTTTGTTGTATCGTTTGAATGTATCGTATCTAATTGTAACGTAATGTGTCGTATTATTTCGTATTGTATCGTAACACATTGCATCATTTTGTATCATATCGTATTGTTTTGTAACGTATTGTATTGCAACGTATTGTATTGCAACGTATTGTATTGCAACGTATTGTATTGCCTAGTATCGTATCATATCGTTTGGTATCCGCATCGTATCGTATCGTATCACAAATGATTGTCCCTTCATATATTAAATACCAAATGGCTCACTTCAGCTTGAGGGAGAAGTCATTCCCAAGATATCTGATATCTCTGTGTTGTTCCTCGTGCCAAGGAAGATTCATTTCATCTGTCAACCATCTTATTATTTCAGAATCTGAATTTAGGTAGGTTGAAACAAACACAGAGTTTGCTTTTGGTGAACAATGGTTCAAACATAAACACAGTAACAAATTGAAATTAAGAGGAAATATTGAGGATAAAAACAATATTATAAAAACGAATATGTACAAAAACATGAAGAAATACAAAGAGATTATGAAAGAATTACTGTAAAATGTCAAGTATATTTAAAACCAACAGTGTAAGAGCTGTGCAGTTTTAAAGTGGTAGTGTAATCGAACAAATGTGTAAAACTATCAGAGGATTGTGCAAATGTCTTCAGTTCAAATGTTGAGTTACTGCTCATAGCTTCACCTTCAGACTCGGCTTCCTTTTAAATATAAGGTTCAAGGTTCTTTATTGTCAATCTGACATAGCTACAGAGTAATTATGTAGTTGAAAATCTTATGTCACAGGCTTCTCCAACAATGCAACATAATAACAATAAGAGCAAGAGCAATACACAATATCTCTATCGTGCACCTGTAGAAGTTGCAGAGTATCCTGGAATCCATTTTATTTTATCACGGGTAATTCACCTGTGATGCTCCAACTTACCTTAAATCTTTACTTGTATGTGAACTGTAGCCAGCACGCCTTTTCTAAGGGTCTCAAATTGGCTCAAGTTTTCATTTTAAGGCTCTTAATGGCCACTTTATGGATACATTGATTACCAATTTATCTCTGTTATTTTAGCTCCTGTATTTCATCTTCCAGTAATAGATCAAACAGCTTGAGGTCTGTTTCCACTTGCCAACCATCAAATATATTAATTAACACTATCAAATGTATAACACGTATAATGCATCAGCTATATTTAATCTTCTTGACTGTAAAGCTCCTTCAGCTTCATCATGAAAAACACTGCAGAGGTAATAATAATGATTATAGCTCTTTTTTGCAAGCAGTCATTAAAGCTGTTGCGCGTAGGTCGAGAGGACAATGACTTTTTTTATAAATATGAGAGATATTATTTCAGACGTGGGTGTGAGGTTAGCGGGGCATTTAGAGGGATTTAATCAGCAAGGAGCCTCGTTGAATCAGAATCGTTTTTATTACCCAGTAAGTTCACACATACGAGGAATTAGCTTTGATCTAAATGGTGCATACAAAGACACAGAGAGAAGAATACGTTGTTTTGTTTTTAAAGGTCCCCTATTATACTGTTTTTCATCAATATATTATAGGTCTCAGATATATACAGAACATGTCTCTGAAGTGTTTGGCTCCAAACACCAAACAGATCATTGCAGCATTACCCATAATCCCCTCTGTTTCAGCCCTGTTTCAAAAGTGCTGATTCTCTGTCTGTTACTTTAGATGAAAATAAGGAGCCCCTCCCCACGCCCCTCTGAGAGAGATTTGGTTAAAAAGAACACAATGGTGCTCGAGGAGGAGATTCAGGTGATAAGGACGGGGGGGGGGGTTACCTTGGTTGGTGATTGGCTAATGGTGACACAAGCCAAAACATCGTTATGACATCATTAAGTGGCCAAAATCTGATCAGCTCATTTTCAGACAGGTTTTTATATAAATGGATCAGGACAAAAAGTGAGAGAATCTTTGTTCCTGAAACTTTCAGAGTCTCTTTACACAGAGGGGACACATGTTGATGTTGAAGAGACATGAAGAAGAGGGGACACATGTTGATGTAGAAGAGACATGAAGAAGAGGGGACACATGTTGATGTAGAAGAGACATGAAGAAGAGGGGACACATGTTGATGTAGAAGAGACATGAAGAAGAGGGGACACATGTTGATGTAGAAGAGACATGAAGAAGAGGGGACACATGTTGATGTAGAAGAGACATGAAGAAGAGGGGACACATGTTGATGTAGAAGAGACATGGAGAAGAGGGGACACATGTTGATGTAGAAGAGACATGAGGAAGAGGGGACACATGTTGATGTAGAAGAGACATGAAGAAGAGGGGACACATGTTGATGTAGAAGAGACATGAGGAAGAGGGGACACATGTTGATGTAGAAGAGACATGGAGAAGAGGGGACACATGTTGATGTAGAAGAGACATGAAAAGGTGGAATTTGCATAATAGGTGACCTTTAAATAAAAAGAGCAAATAAAAGTACTATTATAAAAACGTCTCTCTCTCACCACCCGGCTGCCTCTCGGCTGTGAGAGCGGTGACTCGGCTTCGTGTTTGATGTCTGCTCGGCGGGATGGCAGATGTTGGATCTCAGTGTCTCTGGCAGAAACATGGCCCTCATTGTTCTTCTCCTCCTCGGGGCCCAGCAGGGGGCCGGCTGCTCGGCTCACATGTTTACAGATGCAGCGCTACGCCTCCTCAAGAGCGCCCTTTTCTCTCCACGATCCTCTCACACATCCAGATAGAAACAAATGAGACCAGTTCGGCTGTTAGGATTACTTATTTGGAATTAGCATTGTTTATTGAGTTAGATATGTCAAGTTTAAGCGCTTTAAAGACGATATATTACATTTTATATTAATATTATCATGAGATCATGCCCTTAATCATCCCTCGATAGCCTGAGGGTTGGTGCTAGAAGAAAACTCATGTAGTGCCTGGAATAAAAAGGGTTCATCTCAGGAGGAGCATTAAGGTGTACATATAATTCAGTAACATTTTATTTAGGAGGCGTGTGGTGCAGTGGGTTGTGCGTTGGTGTTCGGATTAGGGGGTCACAGGTTCAAACCCCACTGCAGTCAGCATGTCGTTGTGTCCCTGAGACACTTCACCCCAAATTGCTCCTGTGGGGATTGCCCACAGTATTGAGTATGTAAGTCGCTTTGGATAAAAGCGTCTAACAAGTGACATGTAATGTAATGTAATTATGAATTTGTTTGCAGAGTAGTTGTTTGTCTAGCGTACTTTTATTTTGTTAATACGTATACATTTAGAATTTCTTTTAAATGCAGCCATTTTGTATCTCTTAATAGTAATAATAATAATAACATTTATTATTAAAAGTCAACAACAATATACCAGCATTATATATCGGCCGTCAGCTCCCTGCTCTCTAAATATTGGCATCAGTCGTTGAGAAACCCATATCAGTCAACCACTATATTTTGTACTGAGCTCCTGATGGATGATAGGCTCCGACACACTGGCTGTATTTCACAACTCGTATTCATCAGGGTCACAGTGTTTCCACAGGAAGTAATATCCCCCCCACTGAGTCCAGACACTGACAGCCATTACTCACGACCCCTTACCCATAATGCCTTGTTGGGCAAACAGGAGGAGCGTCCTTAAATCATCCGCCTCGGTTCAAACACAGGGCAAAGTGTTGTTGACCTTATAATATTGGTGCAGTTTGAAGCTGCCATTATTTAAACAGTGAATATTGCAAGTAAAGGTGTTGCAATATTCCAGTTTTTATGAAAATGTTGATATTTAAAGTAGGAAAATACTGAAATACTGATACTTTTTGTTAAATTATGGACATCTTTCCACATTCTTACACCAGTATTTTAAGTTTAATACATTCTCAAAAAAACACAAAATGCACAATAAATAAGGTCAAAGTTTGTTAAGCAATTTGCGATAAACATGTCCTTTAAAATGTTCCATAGAAGTGATGATAATACCATTATTGGAAATTATTTTTGTCCACAATAATCATGAGGTGAGAATCTAGCCCAATTGCAAACATGCAGTCCAAAAGCTACAAGAAGCTGAGAACTGTCACCAATTGAAAAGAGATCACGACAACTGTTATGAATTTGTAATTTGGGCTAAACTCAGGGCCGTCCCTGGCCAACATGAGGCCCCACGCAAAGTTATATGATGAGGCCCTCGACGGGGGGGGGGTGAGGCCCCACGCAGTCTGCATGATCGGCCTGTAGGGAGGGACGGCCCTGGCTAAACTTTATAAAAGCCCACAATGTTAAGATTTTCTTTGTGATTCTCCTGAATGTCCTCTCTCCATCCCTCCCTCCCCTGCTTTTTTTTCTCCCCCTCTAGGGTGGTGGTGAACGCCAGTGGAGCTCCAGTTCTGTGGCGTGTGAATGAAGACGGTTTCCTCCGTTCCTCCATTTTGAACGGCACGACCATGTGGTTCCTGCAGGGCGCTGACGGACTGGTGGTGCCGGACCACTTCCTGCCCCTGGGACAGAACTACTTCCTCAGTAAGACGTTGTGCATATTCAACACATTTAAAAAAACTGTATTCATCATATCAAGCAAAAATATCCAGGTCTGGAAAGGTAATGCTATGTGGATGTGTCTTAAACCTGCATTTTGTATAATAGCCAGCAGGGGGCGACTCCACTGGTTGCAAAAACAACTCGGATTGTATGGAAGACTACGAGAAAAATCACCCAACTTCTCACTGGATTTATCATCTCAGAAAACATTTTCCTGACAAGTTTTTTTGTGTCAATCTCTAGTTTGAAGTCTTCTTCAATACAGCATAATGTTCATTTAGCAATTTATGTAACATAGACAATACATCAGGGTATGCTTTAGGGTGGGGCTACCTTTTGATTGAGTGGCTACACGATGTTGTCAAGTTAGGGTGGTCTTTAAAGGCGTTGAATTCATGTAGCCTAAATAAATAAGCCTTTCATTAGTTTTGATTGTGTTCAAAAAACATTTTAAAAGTCTCAAAAGTGCTAAGACAAGAATTGTATGAATACATTTTAAAAGTCGTAATTTACATTATTTTATTTACATAATGCTTCCCACATTAATGTCAAGCAGATCAGGATAGTGGAGAAAAGTCTTTAAAGTTAATATTTTTCCACATTGAAGTTTGCTTTGCTCATGGGGTGTTTCTCAATGTCGAGTACGCTTGCTTGGTAGCACATGTCTTCCGAGTCACTTGCTTCAGAAGTGAGGCAAGAATACTTCCTGGCATTCGGAAAACGAAGAGTGGAACAGGCGAGCAAGTGTGCAGGTGTGCGTCATATGAGAGGCCCTGCCTTACATTTTCCGCCACAGATTTGGGGAAATTGGTCCGTGCGCAAAGCATTGTGGGGATTTTAAGACCGCGGAGTCTACACATGTGCAGCCTCGAAATTTCTCGCTACGAAGTACGCCGGGCTCGGTAGAATTCCAAGTATGCTGGACATTGGAACAGTCCTTCGGCGGGACTCGATGACATAGTATGCTTGAAATAGTGGCTCTGGAGCAGCCTTCCTCGACATTGAGAAACACCCCTTGTGTCACCTCTGGTTCCAAAAAACAAGATGGTGGCCGCCAAAATGGTGACCAAAATCGAGTCTTCAAAACCATTTTCCGTAACATGCCACTGACTGTTCTACTTCATCAAAGTGTGAACGTGTGGGTAAAAGGCTGTAGTATACTATTTATAACCGAACTTTTAAATGTTACGCACAATGTATCATTTGAATAACACTTAATTTACTATGTTATTGAATTTGTTCACCCATCAAGCATAGACAAACTAATAAGGAAACATTTTGAAATGCCTCCAAAAAGCTAATTTACAACTGAGCCAAAAAAATCATCTGAGCATTAACGAATTTAAATAAATTGTATTAACTGCGTTTATTCCTGACATGACATTGGGGAGAATCGTACATTTGCATATCAGAGTCAGAATATTTGATTTGCATATTGGAAAAAACAACAGATATTTATGCTGATATTCCATCTGTGTTTTTCAAACCGAGCTACACACAAACAGATGTTGTGAGGAGATAAGTCGCACCATCGTGCCAAAACATGGTGTGAGTCCCTATCTTTGACAGCAAGGCTGTTTAACCTTGTGTGTGCTCGACATACCTGATGCTGCTTCACTAAGCTGTGACCTTGACATGTCGTCTAACTCTGTGTGCCTCTGCATCGCCTGGGAAAATACAGAGAAGGGAAGAGAGGGAGAGATGACATTGGGGAGTTAAATCAGAGGGGTGGAAGGAGAGAGGAAGAGTCAGATAAGAGGAAACGAGAAGAGATGGATTGACAGAAAGGGATCAAAGAGAAGGACAGAGGGAAGTGAAGGTCAAACTGCAAGAGGAAGATGCATGCAGTCAGGAGGGAGGAGCGTTGACATGACATTTCCTTCCTTTTACGTCACTGTGTCTGAATGTGATGGAGCGGTGACTCTGCAAGGCCACCGCTCGATGTCATTGGGCACAAGTTTTTCTGTCTGCCCCCTGATTGGCTGAGGATATTGCGTGGTCAAAGTCTCGTCATCTGTGTTCTCGCAGCTCATTGGCTCGCATCAGGCTCTTAAAAAGTGTCAGTTAATGTTCACTATGAAGCTATTTTTATCCCGTGTAGCTGTCAGGTTTGATTAAAGATGTTATAAGAGGTTTTCTGAACTTCTAGATCCAGAGAGACGAGACGGAGAGGCTTGGACTCTATTTTAGTCACACAGCTATACCTGCATCAGTTCTGCAACACTTTTACACACGTGGTAATTGCTTTGTTGGCAGCAAGGTGTACTTTACAGGCAAAGAGTCATTACATATCTGTCCTAAAATCACAGACTGTATAAAAGAAATGGTTGTAGTCACAGGGACGTAACCCATTGTTTTGTAGACGATGGTTTTGAAGTCTTTTTGTCCGTCACCATCTTGTTTTTCTGTAACAAGATGGTGACACAAGGGCAAAAGCACGACTAAATATTTAACAAGACATTTTTAGGCAACACAATGTTACAATTCATGTTTTTAAACACAGAGAGCATCCTGACTGGACAATGCAGTGGTAGCCCCGCCCTAAAGCATAAGCTATTTTATGATCTATTTTACTCTAAATGGGAAAATTATTTACAAAATGAGAATCATTCTGTATTGAAGAGGACTTGATACTAGCAAATGTCATAACAATTCTTTTTCAAGGTAAAACATCAAATAATAAGTAGGGGAATGTGGGGAATGTTTCTTAAGGAGGCGTGTGGTGCAGTGGGTTGATCGTTTGTGTTCGGATCAAGTGGTCACAGCAGGTTCAAACCCCACTGCAGTCAGCATGTCGTTGTGTCCCTGGGCAAGACACTTCACCCCAAATTGCTCCGGAAAATGTTAACTGGGATAATAAATCAAGTCAGAAGTAGGGTCATTTTCTCATAGACTTCTATACAATCTGACATCTCTTCAACCAGGTGAGTCGCCCCCTGCTGGATATTAGACAGAATGCAAGTAAAGGCATTTTATCATCAGTTGTGATGTGATTGTGATGATCAGGTTGTGGCTTGCCTTTAGCATGTGTTAATCTCAACTATATTTATTTGAATAAATATCTCTCTTCTTTAATAAAAAGCACATTTCAAAATTATGTGGGATATTGTTTTTAACCCTTAGATGCACGAGTGACTGGACCCTACACTCTTCCACAAGTGGGTCAAAAAGGACCCGTATTAGAATAATATGTGTTTTTATGCCATTTTTGTCATTTTGGTTAAGAAAAATCACTTGTATAATATTTAGTATTATATTTTGGTTCACACTAGAAATATTTTATATTTAATTTTTCACTATTTAAAATTTTAGACATTTTTTTTATATTTTGAAAAAAAAACTTTTCCCATAGGAGTCCATAGAAAATGCATGAGGGTCATTTTTGACCCACTTATGGAAGCTTGGGGTAGTAATACAAAAACTACAATTTCTTAAAATGTAGATAAAAAATGTGAATGGCATGATATCCAAAACATGTTTTTTGAGGAATAGCTGGAATATGAATTTTTTTTTTTTATTACAAAGATACTTCAAGAAAACCACCTCACCGGGTCAAAAAGAAAAACACTTATGCATCTAAGGGTTAATCATGCCAATGCAGGACACACTTTTAAAACATAATGAGTGAAGAAAATATAAAAGGCCTGTTCTGTTGTAGGTGTGTTGCGCGTGGGCACCCCCACAGCCCCGGAGGTCACGCTGCGTCTCAACCTGACGGTGAAAGCCAGCAGCTGCGTGGAGCCCGGCAGCAGCTTCAGCGACCCTCAGTGCTCCGGGAAGGGAAAGTGCATCACGCAGCCCTCTGAGGTGAGACATAAAGTGGCTTCTTATCAGGAAAACAGCAACAGTGAGCAGTAGGCGAGGCAAGGCACTTTTATTTATATAACACCTTTCAACACAAGGCAATTCAACGTGCAGCAGAAACACATTATAACATGGCATTTAAAAACAGTCAAAGAGAATAAAAGAAACATAAACGAAACTCATATAGAATCCTGCAGTATTTTTTCATACTTTGATTGGAAATCTATTAAGTTAAAAATAAGATAAGATGTACTTTATTTGCTTCCAATGTGGGAATTGTTTTCGTCACAGCAGCACTTAAACAAGGCATTGCACACAATGTGAAAGTAAACTTAAGTTACTTAAAAGTAAAAATATATACATTATGACAGTGATAGAGGCAGTGAGTCCTCAAAAAGAGATGTATGTGGTAAGGAGACACATCGAAATTCTAAACAAAGCATCCAAATACTTGCAGTCAAATAATATACAGTTTTTCTTTCAGTCAAGATTTGCTGTTTTGCACAAGCGATGTTTCAAATACCTGATCTTGTCGGTACTGAAGTGGGCCGGTCGGACGATGTGGGCCGGTCGGATAAGTCACTAGCACCCAATTTACTAGCGGTATGTACTTGCGGTACCGAGGTGGGCCGGTCCAGAGTCCCGGGCTGATTTTTAGTCCCAGTCCGCCCCTGCTGCAGCTTCATCAGTGCGTCCAGCGATGCCTTTTTTGCCATTATTTACAAAAGTATAGCAGAAAAATAAATACATCTTCTTCCTGGGATTCACTCAACAGAGACTTAGAGCTTTGGACAAATGTCATGTAAAAATCAAAAGAACAAAAGCCAGTCCCACAAATGACAGACGTTGCATTCATTATTCATTATCTGAAAGTCAGAAATGCATGTGGGTCTTGGTGTCTAGCCCCCTTTAGGATAAAAAAAAACATGCACATTAAACCAAAAGACATGCAATGACTCGCTGGACATGTGTGAAAAATATCCAAACACTAGTGAAGGGAGTGTTTTGCGGAGATCATCTAATGGTTTCTGTCTATAAACTCAGCTCCTCATTATCTCTCGCCTCGCCTGTCACTGCTTCTTGTTACTGCGCGGTTATATAGTCTCATTATTCCCATTTCACAAGTTTCTCTTTCTCCCATTGTTTCACCTGCAAGGCTCATTGATTTGACGTGTGTGTGTGTGTGTGTGTGTGTGTGTGTGTGTGTGTGTGTGTGTGTGTGTGTGTGTGTGTGTGTGTGTGTGTGTGTGTGTGTGTGTGTGTGTGTGTGTGTGTGTGTGTGTGTGTGTGTGTGTGTGTGTGTGTGTGTGTGTGTGTGTGTGTGTGTGTGTGTGTGTGTGTGTGTGTGTGTGTGTGTGTGTGTGTGTGTGTGTGTGTGTGTGTGTGTGTGTGTGTGTTTTGCAGAGTACTTTCTTCTGCGAGTGTGAGGACGGCTACACTGGAATCTTTTGCGAAGAATTTGACGCCTGCCACCGCCGGCCTTGTCGCAACAACGGCACCTGCACTGACGTGAGGCAGGGGGGGGAAGGAAGGAACTTCACATGCACCTGCCCACCAGGTGTGTGTGTGTGTGTGTGTATGTTAGAAAAATATCACTCGTCACCGGCTTGAGCTTCAATATCAGGATCTCCTCTCCAGAATGGAAGTAGTCATCACATACAGAGCATCAACTAGTTCCTGAACAGTGTCCTTCATATGCTGATATCCAAGAGAGGGAGTTACACAGTCACAAGATGGAGGAATAGAAAGCAGTATTCAATGTTTACTTCAGATTAGCTCCACGTCAGAAATGATCATGCTTGTCATATGTCTATCTCCATAGAGGCTGAATCATCATGTTAATCACATAGCTATCATATGCCTAAAACAGTCCTGATGCTCTTCTAGCTAATCATACATCCTGTCATGTACACAGCTGCAGTTGGGATACCTTTGTTATCATGTGTACTCTCATATTGGAATAGGACATTCAGTATTTTCCCAACAGTGTACATTACAACAAATAAGCAGAAAACAAATAGGTAAACCAATTTTGGAAGTTCAACATCTTAGATTTAGATAGAATCTTGTTTCTTACTTGATTAAATGTTTTCCCATCGCAGTTCCTAAAGAGTCTCAGTCAAACTGTGAGGTCTCATATTGTAGAAAATCTCTGAATAAGAGCACAGGAGCAGTGATCGCTTTAAACCTTTGACCTTGTCGGATACATTTTACGACAGGGACTTGAAGTGAAGGTCAGAAGGTAAATGTTGGAGCCGACCACTGATTGGCTGTCGCTCCACATCAGAGAGCTGCCCTAACAAGCCCTTTGTGAGCAGCTGGTGTAAGAAAAACAGGGGGGAAAAGGTGCAAAAACAACCAATTTAATTGAACTAGGTGCTGGAAATAAGTGCATTTTGCGGATTTTGGTGGATTATTTACATTGTAATTTTTTAGCTGGTACTCTTCCTCTTCACATAACATTTATATTATAGACAACAGACACACATTTACATCAAAGTAAACATAATGAAATCATTCCTCAAACATTTTAAAAGCAAGAAAGAAAATACACCTTTGAATTATTGCATTTAAATTGTCTATTGTTTTATTGTGTGTGAGCTGTGCTGTGTGATTTTGTGTTTGTTTATTTGAGTGTACAGCACTTTGGTCTGGAGGTTTTACAGTGCCTCATAAATAAAGCTGTATTGTATTGTATTGTATTATTGTCACATCATGCCTTTGTAGTGTTTTTTCACTTTGTTCTTCTATATTTTCTAGCCTAATCGGGTCACTTTTGGCAGCATTTGGCCAAATTGAATGAAGGAGTCTGATTATAATCTTTATTTGTTGTGTGTGTGTCAGGTTATGAAGGGGAGCGCTGCCAGCTGCTGGTGGATCACTGCGTCTCTGAGCCCTGTAAGAACGGAGCCACGTGCTTCAGCAGTCTGGCCGGGCCCCGCTGCTACTGCCCCGAAGGTAACAGCACTATTTATTCATATTTCGCTTTTTTTAAATGTAGAGTCAGAGAAAGAGGGGGTAATAGACGGCCAATTGTCCCAGGCGGGATTCGAACCTAGGTCCTTCGCTCGGGGACCAAGCCTTAAAGTGGACCTATCATGCTATATTTGAATAATATAGTGTAGGACCATACCTATATAAGGCATATTTATACTTATACTACCAAACAGACCATGCATTTTAGCCATGCCTCATTTTGCTCAATTTGACAATTTATAGCTCTGTTTGTGCAAGGGCAGATTCAGTGAGAACAGCACCATCTACAGGCCTGGCATATGTACTACAACGTCTCCAGCGCTTTCGAACGGCAATGGCCGTGGCTGTCTCCTCCTGATTGGTGGAGTTGGCCCAATAGCCGTAGCGCCACCGTCCTGACGTCAGGACAGTGTTCAAATCTGGATCAGTTTTTATCAGATCCGTTGCAGCCCCTTTTTTAGAGATTTGGGTATGGAGGAAAATAGAGAGGGTTGTGTTTTCTGACACTTGGTGAGTTCCCTGGAACACCGGGGACACATATTCATGTATAAAAGACGTACAAAGTGCATTTTGCATGATAGGTCCCCTTTAATATATGGGTCGTCAGCTCTACCGGCTATACAGCGACCCAATTTATACATATTTTTATTTCTTACCATTACCAATTTCATGTATTTCCTCTCTACATATAGGCAAGGCAAGGCACATTTATTTATATAGCACTTTACAACACAAGGCAATTCAAAGTGCTTTACAAAAATGAAAGACATTAAGAGCATAACACACATTGGAAACATTAAAAAGCAAATATAATAAAACATGAATAACACAGGTACATGCATAAAAGTTACAGTGCAGTGTAAGATGTGAATAGTTCAATTAAAATCAGCGGCAACAAGAAAGTATCCTTTCCTAATTTGCACTGAAACCGCTCACAACAACAACGAATGGGATACATAATGTCTAACCTCATCTCATGTGTGGGTGAATTTACCCTCAGGGATTAATAAAGTGGTTTTAATTGTAATCCAAATGTATGACAACCGTGAGAATGACAACACAGTATTATTATTTATTTGTATGCTCTTCTCTGATTGTCTGTAAAGTGTCTTTGAGCACTGGGAAAAGCGCTATGTTGTGTTATTATTATATTATTATTACACACTATGATATGATACTTGCCCTTGAAAAGCATTCTTAAAAATGTGTTATGATTATTTTTATGTAGCATTATGAATGGTAATGAGTCCTTATTACTATTTAAATAAGTATACTTTATTCCAATTATAACGCAATATAAGTAATAATGCATTAAAGGCATTGGCGTCCTTACTAAGATATTAATACTCATAAACACACATAACTCAAGCGTCTCGTTTTTTTAAATCCAGCAGCCGTATGTGTGTTTTTCGGCTGTCTGAATCCAGTTATTATCCACTCGGAGTGTGTGCTGCGGGTTAACAGTATCTGTGCCACAGAGATGCTTAATTTAAACCTTCCTTCTCTATTCTAATTAGTCTTCATAGCCTCAGCGACCTGCATCCGCCTCTCTGGGGAAATCTATGACCGCAAAAACTTCTGCCAGAGCAGTGTTTTCTCCACCAGAGCCCAGCGTACATCGTGTACTGCGTATATAGAGTGGGGATATATAGAGAATGCAGGGAAAACATTAGCTAACAATGGACCTGGCCACGTAAATAAAGAAACAGCAGATGGAGGCTGTTTCATTGTTCCCCGTATATACAGCTCCCAGCAGTCACTTTATTCTCAAACTGGAGGAGGCCGTGCTCACACTGACTGAACTGCTGATCTGCAGCTGGAGAAAAACAAGTTCTCCAATGAGGAGAGGAATTCATAATCCATCACTCGTGTGTGTCTTCATAACGAGAGAGAAACAGGGGCGAGGAGAAGGCCAGAACTTTTTAATCAGTGCGAGAGTTTGTCAAAATCGGCTCTTCAAAGATGTCATGAAAAATATTCGATTATTTGGTCTTTTTACTTTAAAGACACTCTTTTATGCTCTTTGGGGTTGTTTCCTTTCCTGTAATGTGTTATATAGGTTTTAGTGCATGTAAATGGTCTGCAAAGGCTAAGATCCCCCCCTCCCCCCCTCTGCCTGAAACGCCTCCATTGGACTCCTTTGTTTACTTCTGGAACATAATGACATCACTAAGTAACACTCAGCCACTATTATTGGCCAGCGCTCCAACGCATTGTACGTGATAGGGTAAGGGGCGGGACATCTCTAAGCGGTCGATTCATCAAAACAGAGCCGGCCAGCTAACCAATCAGAGCAGACTGGGCTCTGGTTTCAGACAGAGGGTGAAAAGAGGACATTTTATTTATTTAGCTAACTGTTTTAATAAAGTGTATGGAAGATTGTAATAAAGCATCAATAGTCAAATGAAGTAAAAACCACTTGACTTTACAATCTGTACTGAATAAAACACCATCTGCCGTTAAACCTGAGCATAATCAAGTTCAAGAATCTTTAGGAGTCACTAAAGGAAGGATCACTCGCCCTTGACGAATACAGATGCAAAATATGTTGAAAATAGAATCTGATGGAAATGCACCAAAAAAAGGCCATCTTTAGCCTTCAACCTCAACATAGGAAATCCATACATGAGGATGTCTCAGCACACGGCACGCTGTTTAACAAATGATCAATCAATAACTGGGTGAAAATGCTGAACAACACTCACATCCTAGAAGAAAACACACACTGAATAAATAAATAAAATCCCTTTTTTCCATTGTTCTGGAAAGGTTTTGGTCAACGTTTATGTGACTGCTAACTGGTCCTTTTAATTCTAGGTTGATTCATTTACGATTCAAGGGAATAAATCAGGGGTGTCAAACTCAAGGCCCGGGGGCCAAATCCGGCCCGCGACTTCATTTTATGAGCTTGCAAAGAATATAATATGTTTATTATACGGTTACATGCCGATTTACAGAAGCACGTTGCCCATAAACTACATGTCCCACAATGCATCTCAAATATGCCTTTTTTCTCCGAATTTGACTTCTTTTCTTCAAAGATTTACTTTTTTTTTCAAAATGTCACTTATTTTGTGTGACTTCTTTTTTTGATTTTGACTTCAGAATTTGGCTTTTTTTAAATAAACTCATTTTGTGACATTCTCACTGAAGGGACTTGCAATTATTTGCCCTAGACTTCTGCTTTCAGAAGTAGTTAATTATATAGTTATTACCCTATCCGATAATAATCCAATGCAATATAATAATATAATATAATATGTATTATAAAACGGACAAGTAAAATCAAGCAATCTGATTGGTTCTTAACCGTGGTATACTGAGCGTATACCACGGGTAGAATTGTAAGTTACTTTTCACAACAAGTCAGTATCCCTCCGCGTCTGAGATAAACAATATACAGTTGGGCTGAAAAGCAAACTGCCTGCAGTTTGCTTTTCAAACTGGAACAAGAAAGCAGCGGAGAAGTAACGGGGCAGAAACCCTCCTTTTTACGCAGCGGTCCAGACATAGACATCAAACGGCAAAAACATATTCAGTGTGCAGTTCCTTTGGCATTAGGGCAGGGATATTTAGATACTTTCCAAGGTTTGACATAATGAATTGTGCTACTTTTAAAGCAAGCAACCATGTTTTCAAATCTGTAATCAAAAAGGTCCGCAAAAACATTTAAGATCCTCCGGGGTGGGTCTTACTATGGAGGAGTGGATTGAGGAGTGCCTATCTCCAGAACAAAAAGCACCTGAACGACGACATGTAGAGCTACGTGAAGAGCAGGTAGACCAACTGGAAAAGTATCACCATTCAAAAGCTTTCTGATGCGGGTCTTGAAACAAAGCAGAGAAATTATGACCGTTAGTGGCCACAGGTGCGAAAGCTCTCTCCAGAGCTACTGGAAGCCCAATCTCGGGGACCGGAGCAAGTGGAGCAATATTCTCGCCACGCCAAGCAACAGCCTAGAACAACCTCAGCCTATACAAGTAACCACGTAAGCCATGCTACTGATGCTGGACAGTTTTTCAGTGGGTGCACAATAAACGGCAACATACACATTAATGTAAATAAATAGCCAAATAATGGATCAACGCTCTATGTCTAATATGTTCGCTAGCTGTTGTTAGTGTTGTTGCATAGCAACCACCTCGCACTATGTTTCGTGCAGAAGGCAACGGAGGGACTATTTTATTTTGAACATCATTATTTACTAATAAAAACTATTTAAATTAGAGTGTGTATTTTTCTTTCATATTGCCACACTTGGTAACCGTTTTATAAACGGGCCGCGTCGGGCCGAACCACGCCCCTTAGCTGTGATATAATGAGCATATACCACGGCCTGTCGTGAGCTATTGCTTAAATATAATAGATTATTTTATATTATTAAATATTTATATATGTATTTTTATATAGTCTTATATATATGGGCTCAGAACAGTCTCATAATACACACATGCACACAGAAGGATTCACACTTGTATTTCCGGATCCACACTTGTGTTTTTCAATGCACACACAAATGTGTTCCGTTTCATATACATGTAAATAAAATCCAAATACAGAAAAAAGTTTTACATATGTATTTTTGATCCTCACATATTTGTTTTCCGTTTAAATCCCCTGCACCTACAAACACAAACCGCTTTCTGTGCATGGATCGCTGTGCATTCGTGTGTGGGTTTTTTGAGACTCCCCTGACGGTGACCCGATTCGTACTTGTAATTTGTTCTATCTATAGCCAATCAGATGTCCCCTCAATTCTAAGCCAATCACATGAGCGCGTCCCCACGAGGGTAGATTTCTTGCGTTCATGACACTTCATATACGCATTTTGCGCTGTCCGGAGCAGGGTGGACAGAATTTATTTTACCGGACAAATTTGAAACTTACCGGTCATGTTTCAATAATAATAATAATAAGAAGAAGAAGAATTGTGTAGCAGAGTTTCCGTTAGCAGGTAATTACCGGACTATGACCGGATATGG